ATCGGTCGAGTAGACTACCTGAACGTGTCCGCTGCTTTCGTAAAGCCGAGTTTGCGAAGCTTAATAACCTAATTAGGGATTTTGATTGGTCCGCTTTGTACTTGTGCACTGATGTCACAAAAGGCACAAACATTTTTTACAATGCTCTTGGCACATTTTTTGCTGCTTCGTAAACAGTAAGCGTAGAACGTCCGCACACCCATCCTCGCTATCATTTTGTAATACGTCGGCAAATAATGATCAGGCAATTGCCGATCTTTTTGCCCAGTTTTTCCAAACCACCTATTCTGAGGAACGCTACTCTGGTCACCCGTACCCATACGGATTACCGAGGTCGAACGGCATTTTCAGTCCCTTGTTAAATGAATATTCCCTACTTCAAGATCTTCGACTAGTTAAGCCGGTGTTTTCACCGGGTCCAGACGGGGTTCCAGGTTGTGTACTCAGGTACTGCGCCGAGGCTCTGTGTGGACCATTGCTTAAACTATTCACCCTGTCCATTGATTCCTCTTGCTTCCCCCCAATCTGGAAGGAATCGTTTATAATTCCTCTCCATAAAAAAGGTAGCAAGTCTGACGCAAAAAATTATAGAGGTATAGCAAAGTTATCCGCTATTCCCAAATTGTTTGAGAAGGTTTTAACTCCGCACTTGCAACATCTCTGCAAGTCACTTATATCTTGTTAGAGTTTACCTCTTTCATTATTAAAGGCTTTCAAGGTAACTTACAGACGGATGTTATTTACACCGACTTTAGTAAAGCATTCGACTCTGTAAACCATTCCCTTTTAGCACATAAACTTGACCTTTTAGGGTTTCCGCCCAACCTCCTGAGATGGATTTCTAGCTATCTTTGTTCTAGGTCTCAAAGAGTCCTCTTCAAAAACTCCCTCTCTTTACCAGTAAAGGTTTCTTCGGGAGTACCACAGGGCAGCCATCTAGGCCCCTTACTCTTCACACTCTTTATTAATGACTTGCCTTCAGTAATAACATACTCTCGAGTACTTATGTATGCGGATGATGTTAAACTCTGTGTCCAGTACAAGGACATTTCATTTCATTCTCGCTTGCAATCCGATCTCAATAGCTTTCAGTCATGGTGTTGTGCAAACTTGTTACACCTTAATGCCTCGAAATGCAAAGTTATGACATTTCATCGTTCTAACCCTTTGTTGGCTCCCTACACCCTATTTGGGGGTTCTCTTGAGAGAATTACCCTGGTGGATGATCTGGGTGTTATGTTAGATCCCAAGTTAAAGTTTTCCGAACACATTTCTACCATGGTAAATAAGGCCATGGGCGTGCTTGGGTTTATAAAGAGGTGGTCAAAGGAATTTGACGACCCCTATATAACAAAGACTCTCTATACCTCGCTTGTTCGTCCGATCTTAGAATACGGCTCCTGTGTATGGTGCCCTCAGTACAAAGTACACCAGGACCGTATAGAATCAGTACAGAAAAACTTTTTACTCTTTGCTCTGCGGGGCCTTAACTGGGATGCGGGTGTAAGACTCCCATCTTACTCTAGTAGACTATTATTAGTAAACCTCCCATCCTTAGTTAACCGTAGAAAAATGCTTGGTGTGATATTTATGCACAACTTGATCAGGGGTGACATAGACAGCCCTGATCTGTTGAGCCGCATAAACTTCACGATTCCTATTAGACTGACTAGAAACTTTATACCGTTGTTCCTTCCACTTTGTAGATCGAATTATTCCTTGCATGAACCGTTTAGGGTCTTATGCTCGGATTATAATTCCCTCTACCATATTATATCCTCCACTAATTCTCTTCCTCTTATTAAATTACTAATCCTTACACACCTTTCTAGTAATTAGTAATTGTAGTGGTATTTGGATTTTGTATTTTATTGCATGCTTAATTTCTTAAAAAGTTTAGTGCTAATTTTCCTCGAAGGTTAGTCTAATATCTATCTTTCTTGCATGCTCGCGTTTGGTTCGGCTACGCACCGCGCGTCATGCGGCAGCGCCCCTCGGTCGGTTGGGCGGGAGGAGGGCTGCGTTTTGCCTGGGATCCGCGCGTAACAGCCTTCTGCTGGTGTCACACGGGCCACTTGACGGTGCAGTAATTGCATCGCCTCTTGTTAGATGCAGTCATTGCATGTCAACGTCCAATATTCTGATTCTGTCTGGTCGACTATCTGTCATATGATTTATTTTAATCCGAGATAAAGCGTCCGCTACTACGTTAGTTGAGCCTGGCTAATAAATGATTTTTGGTGTGAAACTTTCTATGAAGTAATACCAACGTGTTGGATCATCTTTGCCTGCATGCAGGGCTATGGCGGTCTGGCAGACAGTTTCCTATCCTCGCCATTGTGGCAGCCACTCTCGAGACTCTCCTATTCCGTGTACATCTGGAATATGTTCACTCTGGAAGTAAACAGCAGAATTCTACGGACCAATACATATTTTTCGAACTACAACTTTGTAAGTTTTGTTTTGGATAGTTGAAGGAAACTAGTGGATTATAACAAATGTATAATATTTTATGCTTTGCAGATGCTTAATTTCTGGTCTGTCATTGGGATCACTATTTTGATGTCGTATGTGTTTTATGTTATCATTGGGGCTCCTTTTGGCGGACTCGATAGTCTTCTACGAACCCGGCAGCCACGATCTCCAAGCGAACAAAAGCAGTCGTCAGTAGATGTCCAGCAGGATCAGTTTAATGTCGGAAGGAATCTGGATGAACCTGAAGAGCCTAAGGAAGAAGCCACAACGACTGTTTCAGAATAGTTAAATGTAAGATGCTAATAGTCGTGTTTTGTCTTTCCCATATTTAGATCCAGTATGGTTTTCTTGTATTCAATGACTTTTCGCCGACCAGACATGTTTAAGTTTGCTATTAAGTTAAGACTTTGAAGCCACTTGAGATATTAGATCTTACAAATAACTATTCGACAAGCGCTTTACTCACAAATTCAACTAATAAACGAGGGGGAACGTTGTGAGTTGCTGCGGACACCGCAACTCTACATTTATTCCCGATACTTAGTCAGTATGGCTCTCCTCCGGCAGAGGCCGCTAATACTAAACGACACGACAAAGAGTGCGTGCGAGAGAGACAGAAAATCAGTCAGAGCGTGACGTCGGGCGCTGCGTAGCCACTGCAAATTGATTTCTTGCTTTTGGCTACAAAAATGATCCGATCTGATCCAGATTCAGCAATCTGATAGATATGGTCATTATGATTATGCGTTTTTAGTTTTCTCGAATGTGCAATATTGTGAATGCAACAGATTTTCGTCCTTTGTGGGGGCGGAAGGGGGTGGGGCGAAATTCTGAAATATAGGTTTTATAGTGAGAAAAATTTGGTTACTCTAGACTTAATTGTCTCTGAGATTTGTGGATACCACAGATTTTCGCCCTTTGGGAGGGCAGAAGTGGGCGGGGCAAAGTTTTGAAATATTTTTGTAGCAGTGACATATCACAGAAGTCTGGATCCAAAATATCGTTGCTATAACTAGCTGTATATAGGACGGACAGACAGACAGACAGGGCTCAATAGATTCGGATATTGATGCTGATCAAGAATATATATACTTTATGGGGTCGGAAACGATTCCTTCTGGACGTTACACACATCCACTTTTACCACAAATCTAATATACCCCAATACTCATTTTGAGTATCGGGTATAAAAATTATACTCTTCCAAGTAATCTCTTCCATTGTCTATACTTATTGTATTCTTTGTTCTCGTACTATAATTATCATGTCAGAACACGATCGGCAACTAAAACCGAAAAGAAATTGGTTGATTATTTACATAGAACATATTTTATACGAAATTATACGTAAGCGCCAGAGGTTGTATCGCAGTCGATGACTGCAGTAGGGATTTTCTCCGTTTTGTTTTTTTTTGCATCTGTTTGCAAAATGAGTATTGGGGTATATTAGATTTTTGGTAAAAGTGTATGTGTGTAACGTCCAGAAGGAATCGTTTCCGACCCCATAAAGTATATATATTCTTGATCAGCATCAATAGCCGAGTCGATTGAGCCCTGTCTGTCTGTCCGTCTGTCCGTCCGTCCATCCGTCCGTCCGTCTGTCCGTCCTCTTCAGCGCCTAATGCTCAAAGACTATAAGAGCTGCTGGGGCGCTACAGACTGTAATCACAAATGGGAATATCAATAACCGGGCGAAAGGGCTGCACACGAGTATGTCCACTTCCGGGCCGAGTCTTATGCCGACGCCTCCCTTGGCCCCCTTCGCACAGGTAGTCTTGACCCTGTTTACATATCGGGGCTTGCTCGGGTTGCCCGTGTGGCAAGGGATTGAAATCGGAGGCGTACCCCAACCAGCGCCCAAAAGAGCCCTGAAAATGGATGCTTCTACGGATTCTGGATCAGGTATAATGGGTCGTGGATCGTGGATGATGACGCTTTTGTTGTGTTGTTTTGATCACTGATCACTGAATCAATAAGAGTACAGTGAATATTTAATGATTCATTTGTTGCCGCTTCTGGTGGATTCCGTGCCTCCGAAGTGCGTATGCGGGGGCCTGCAATTGGTGGCAACAAAGGCCCCACGGCTGCCACAATCGCTGCTGCAGCGGAAATGTTTTGCTGCTGCTGCATGCTCTCCTCCTCCGATTATTATTGAATAAATTGCAGAACAAATATGCAGCGAAATAAAAATAATAATAAATGCAATCACGGGGATGAACGATGAGCAATTGGACTCCCGTCCAAACGGAACGGATCGTAATATGCATAAACGATATATCTGATCGACTGGAAACTCTTGTTTGAATTTGACTTTGAATTTCGAATATTTCGGCATATATTTTCATTGCGGCCAAAAACGGAGAGACGATTCCGTGCATTACGATTCTGGCATCAACGAAAATAGATGCCCAAATGGAAGTGCAAACATCTCTGAGGGGAGGAGTGGAGTGTCGGGCGTGTGGACGTTTGTCTTCTGTCAGTGTGTGATTGGATACTGCTTGCTGCTTTCTGCTCGATGGCTTCCCCCTAGATCACGAGGTGCAGGCGTATCTGGAACACCAGCTCCTCGACGGTCTTCTTCAGGAGCGCCGCCAAAGACAGGATGAATCCCAGGAGGCTGAGGGAGAACAGCCAGGGAGTGGTCATGAGCACGGCAAAGAAGACGAGCGTCTCGTCGCCCCGGGCATTGGCCATGCGCCACAGCAACTGGCGCTGGATGGTGCGCAGCTTGAACTTGCTGTTCCACAATCGGAGGCGCATCGAGCCGACGGTTTCGTTGACGACCACAGTCTTCTCGACCAGCCAGAACACCGCGCAGCACAGCATCTGCAGCACCAGCAGCACGACCTTGACCACAGCAGTCTCCAAGACGAGGTGGTACAAGGCCACCATGCGCTGACTGTGCTCCGGCTGCATGGTGGAGAGCACGACTGCGCCGAGGGACTCCAGCGGAGAGACCCTGGGGGAAGGGCCGTCGGAGAGCTCCTCCCACTCCGAGTCCGACTCGGTGCGCTCTATCGAGCTGAACTCGCTCTGGCCCTGACAGGAGCACGACTCCTCCTCTTGGTCCTCCTCGGTGGGCATCGAGTAGTCGCCCTCGTAGTCGCCGTCGTAGCGGCCGTCGGAGTACTCTTTGTGCGGGCCGTCGTAGTAGTCTCCGCGACTGTCCGGAGAAGCGCCGCCTGTCCAGAGGGAGCTCAACACGGGCGGTGGTCCCATCGATGCCATCTGTGGCACAGCATTGAATCTGCAGGGGAGCCGGGGGTAAGTTATGTCCTAGGGGGAAGGGGAGTCTGAGCTGCTGCCGCTCACCCATCTGAATCACCCATCGGAGGGAAGGTGGGGGGGTGTGCGCGACCTATTGGACCCATTGGGCGCGAAAGCAGAAGACTAGTGTGGATTTGGCCTAGGAAGGGCATCGCATTGAGTCCATTCTTGTCGCCGGAACCTTCGGGGGGGACCTGCAGCTCCGGCTGCTGCTGCTGATGCTGGTCGGTAAAGTCGAAGGATCCCATGGATCCGAAAATACCCCGCGAAAGGGTGAATGGGGAACGTGGATTATTAATAGTTGGATTCATCTTATTCCAGCACCTGTGAGGAAATATTCGTTCATGGGCTTTGTTTTGTATTTGAATTTTTATTTACTTTATGTTCCCTGTACTTTCGATATTTGTACTGAATGATTCCCAGAGCCAGTTCTGAACGGCTCCAAGTGATAGTTCAGGGCCCACTTCGATGTTGTGTTCCTAACAGATTCTCCCTTCTTTTCAGGTCTCCCCACCCCACCCCACAACGCCACAAAAATATTTCAAAACTTCGCGCCGCCCACTTCCGCCCCACAAAGAACGAAAATCTGTGGCATCCACGTTTTTAAAGATACGATAAAACCAAAAAAGGCAGAATCGTAGAGGATGTTTATATGTTCTAGAATGTAAAATCTCAACCAGATCGTATAATTATTATAGCCAGAATCAAGAATACAATTTTATTTTTCCTCGCTCTGTCTCTCTCAAACACACAGGTTTCATGGTCGGTTTTGCCAATTGCAAAATATGAGTTCAAGGATCTCAGAACCTATAAGAGCCAGAGCAACCAAATTTGGTATCCATACTCCTGTGATATCGGACCTTGACTGTTTCGTGTCCAAATTTCGGCACACCCCCTTCCGCCCCCGCAAAGGACGAAAATCCACAAATCTCAGAGACTATTATCGCTAGATTAACAAAATTTGGTATCCGCACTTCTGTTAGATCTCACTATAAAACCTATATTTCAGAATTTCTCCCCACCCCCTTCCGCACCCACAAAGGACGAAAATCTGTTATATTCACAATATTGCACATTCGAGAAAACTAAAAACGCAGAATCATAGATAGTGACCATATCTATCAGATCGCTGAATCTGGATCAGATCGGATCATTTTTGTAGCCAAAAGCAAGAAATCAATTTGCAGTGGCTACGCAGCGCCCGACGTCACGCTCTGACTGATTTTCTGTCTCTCTCGCACGCATTCTTTGTCGTGTCGTTTAATATTAGCGGCCTCTGCCGGAGGAGAGCCATACTGACTAAGTATCGGGTATAAATGTAGAGTTGCGGTGTCCGCAGCAACTCACAACGTTCCCCCTCGTTTTAAATTTGGTTGTTGCGGTGAGGCAGAATCTCTTCACGAACTCTCGCCATTTTGCTGCCACTTGTCATGAGAATTGGAAAAAACATTGAAACAAGGAAAGGATCTGCCACCACTAATGGTAATAATTGCACCTTGGCTATCATCTTTTCACGCAATGATCAGAATTATAGAACAAATTGTCTACATCCATGTTTAGCTAAACTTTTGTTTTCTCCGTTTTTTTCTTACTCACTCATATTAAAACCAAATTTAATCCATCAATAAGTAAAACGATTACCTGGGAAAAGATTATAAATAAATGAGCTTGTGACTACTTAGAATTTAGACGGATTGCTCCTTATCGGTGATGTTTGACTGAATTAAGCATTTTGGCTGATATACTCGACTCGAGAGCTGACACACTGATAATTTTATCGCCAGATTTCCCTCGAAACATTCCTATAAAATCACAGTCAAAAGGTGCAATGCCTTCAATCGAAAAAGTATTAGCATGGTGAACGTTTTAAGCGGACTGTCTGCGGACTGGTACTTGTCAGTGCCGCACAACTGAAAGACGGAGATGTCCTGCAAGATTACCAGCGTTTAAAAAGTCTCCGCCCGCTGGGAAGTTTGCCGAAAACTTCCGTATGAATTGCTCCCGGACTTGGATCTTTTCCACCCCCGAATACCCAGTCAGGAGGATCTGTTGTGTTTCGCGGACATGGCTCAGTTCATGCAGGCGCTCACTACTGGAAAATTATGGGAAAATTATACTTAAGAGTAAGTAAATAATGAAAATTATATTCAAGTCAATGAGAACTGAAGTTGACGAATTTTGTGAGCAGTGATCGATGCTTGGGGCTCCATTCCCTCAGGAGTGCTGTCCGGCAATGTCTACCATCTGGGTAACTTCGATGAGTCAAGATCAGCGAGGAGATCACCAGTAGTCACAGCATACATGGAAAGTACTGTTTTCTAATTGTACCCGCCGTATCCATTTCGATCAAGATCGCATCTTGCTTTCCGGCTTCCTGCTCTGCGGCACATATGGATACGTTTCTGGAGCAGTTAATGCAGAATTTGTTGAACTCAAGCAGCACAAATATAAAATTTAGCGAGGCCAGCTATCAGACAAGTGAATCGAAACCTTGGGATGGAATGACCATTTTCACAGTGTAAGTTAGACCTTATCATAATCAATTTCTGTGACTCATACTATGGATTGCAGTGTACTTCTTGGCTTGATGGGTACTATCGTGGGTCTATGCACGCTCTACGACTACTTTCTGAGCCAGGATCAGAGTTAGGACCGGAGAGAACGGAATGATTTACAGAATGATTTAACTCGTATTTTGCCTACCAGGTAGTATCTCTGTGACTGTGAAGATGTGCTCGGCACGGTCAAGTTCCCGTGCCATCTTCCGCATTGTCGACAGCAAATCGAATCCGAACGTGATCAGTTGTCTTGATGGAATCCGCTGCATGTCCCTATTCTGTGTTGTTTTTGACCATGAATACATATATTCGCTAATTTCTCCAAATATAAATACCTTCAATATGATTTCGGTTTTAGTGGCCTCATGCTTGTATGTGCAAAAACCATTCAGCTCTGTTTTTTTGTTTGCTAGTGGGTCGCGGAATCCTTTTCCAGCTTTATTATCCACGGATTTTTTTCGGTTGATTCCTTTTTCTTTATTGGTGGCCTACTAGTGGCTACGGTTGCTCTTCGCTCAATGGATAAGTAAGTGTTTGAGATATTTTGTATCCATCGAGAATTATTGCCAATTTTCTTACAGATCCAAAGGAAAACTGAATGTGCCGCTTATGTATCTTCATCGTATTATACGGATCGTGCCGATACTTGCAATAGCAATCCTAGTTTACATAAAGCTGACGCCCATTGTTTCTGGGGGACCTTATTTTAAAGGTGGATTCCATGGTACCGCCGCCTATGAAAAGGGCTGGTTCTGGACGCTGCTCTTCGTGCAGAATTATGCTACAAGCAATATTGTAAGTCATAGATCTACTCTTATTACCATTTGTACGATAATCGTTTTCAGTGCCTGGATCACACATGGTACTGGGCAGTGGATATGCAGCTTTATATAATCTCTCCGCTTCTGCTGATTGCACTGTATAAGTGGGGCAAAAAGGCAGCAGCTGGCATCGCGGTTCTTGTTCTCCTACTATCGTCCTGCCTCTTTGCCACGATGATAGTCAACAAATACTCATTGCTCTTCAAGTAGGTCCACGATGCTTCTGTTTGTCGTTGGAGTTCTTCAACCCCATTTAATTGCAGGAATGGAACCGAAGGAGATGCCGGAAGGAAACTGTATTCTGCCACACATACTCATTCGGCACCTTGGCTGATTGCATTTCTTTTTGGATATTTTCTTCACCTGAATTGTAGGAAGAAGTTCCAAATAAGCCGGATTTTGGTATGGTCTGGATGGGTTCTTAGTCTGGCCATGATCTTCACCTCGATGTTTGCCCTGTACCCTGCGACCCAATAGAGTGCTCCACCCCTGTCCACCCTCAAGGAGTTTCTGTACTACACGCTTACCAGAGTGGGCTGGCCCTTAGCCCTGTGTTGGATCGTCTTTGCCTGCATGCAGGGCCATGGCGGTCTGGCCAACAGTTTCCTATCCTCGCCATTGTGGCAGCCTCTCTCGAGACTCTCCTATTCCGTGTACATCTGACACCTTTTCGTACAGGAAGTCAACAGTAGAAGCGTTCGTACTAATACTTATTTCTCGGACAAATTGTAGTAGGTTTTGTTTCTAGTAGTTGATGGTTGCTTATTTTTAACTAACCTCATTGATGATTTTCAGATGCAGAAATTTTGGTCTGACTTTGGGATCACTATTTTCATTTCGTATCTGCTTTACGTTGTCATTGAGGCTCCTTTTGGCGGACTCGATAATCTTCTACGATCCCGGGAGAAAAGTGTTTTGAAGCCCCAAGCTCCAAGCGAACAAAAGCAATCCTCAGTTGATGTCCAGCAGGGCCAGTTGAATGCCGGAAGTAATCTGGTTGAGTCCGACGTGCCTAAATAAGAAGCCACAGAGACTACTCCAGAATAGTTATAGATGTAAATATCAATATGGGTTTTTTTTCACTCTTATGTAGACATTTTGTAGATTACAAAACCACATAAAAAAGATGTGAGCTTCCGACTACCCACACACTAGACTGATAAGAGTAATTATCAATGATGTTCGGCTGTATCAAGTATTACGCTGTGCTAGTCTGAGTACCTCAGACTACTCAAGACTACCTTACTCAACACAATTGTTTTTATAATCG